TGCAGCTGGAGAAATGCATAGGCTGGTTTTCTTTCTACAACTTACAAGAGAGTTTGAAAGGGTTTTAACCTATATATCACATTTTATCCTTTGAGAAAAGAGGGTATGTTCTGGAAATCTTTAAAAGAAAGCCCATTAAATAGTCCATCCCATGCTAGTATCTAAGAGTGAGATATAAGCATGCTTTTTAGACAGCATATTAGATACTGTGCCTGTAAAGCTTTTTTATGTTATTATTTTTTCCAACCTACTTAGCTGCTATATTTCAATCTTAACAAAATACAATTTGTGCTGTTTATGACATTTCCAGTAAGCCAGGAAAGAACAGTGTGTTGTGACTACCAGTCTTGCTGAGCTATTTGCAAATATCCATCACTATCAAGGCAGTTAAAGCCATGATCTACATATTCCCAGAAGGGAGCTACTTTTGAGCTGTCAATTCTACTTTAGAACAACTGTTCTCATACGAAATCTACCTGTGAACTCTGACCATTTAAAACAAAAACAAAAACCCTGCTACCTTGATTAATAAAAATTACCTAATCAATGTATTTAGTATATATGTAAGGTTCAGTCTCATGTGCCACATAACAAAAAATCCCAAAAGCTGTCACTGTCATTTATCTTTAAAACAACAAGAATACATGAAGGCTGAATTCTGAATTCCTAACTTTTAAACACAATGTGAATACAAAGAGTTATGTGTCTCACTTGCATGGAAACACTACATATAAAAGTAGATAGATTGGTTTGTATTTATGTAGCTAAGTAGATACTAAATATTTATCCATACAAGTCTCCAAATACATTTTCTAGGACCATAATCCTACATAAACATTTTTCTGGTTCCCAAGAAAAAATAATGTCCTATAAAGCAGACAGTTTTATGTATATTGTTTTTTTTTCTTTGTGTATCATTATTTTGATCATTCAGCACATCATAGAATTGCTCCCAAGACATAAGTATCTCTTCACGTGTTAAGCCAAGATACACATTCCCTGGAAAGAGACCATCTCAAATTGCCACTTAGTTTTGCCGATACCACAAAGTTTACAAGGTTAAACTCTAATACAGTATACTAAGTATAATTCAAAAGCATTATGATTCCACATTATGGGTCCTGAGACCATTATGTAGCATTGTGTCATGGAAGCAGACTACAGGTTTTACATGTTAAATGCCATGAGAAATATACATGCAAAGGGGCATAGTTCTGCTGTTAGAAAGTACCATATTACTACTTTTTGGCTGAAGTCCTCTACCTACTTACCTCAGAATAACTCCCACTGAGCTCAATAAAGCTTACCTCCCCCTGCCCCATATATGTGTGTGTGTGTGTGTGTGTGTGTGTGTGTGTGTGGATTGCTCTGTTAAGGGCCTAGTCTCCATCCAAATCAGCCCTCCAAGCTTTGATTCTTCAAAGTTTTACCGCTATGTAGCTCCACAGAAATCAAGAGAGCTCTTCTAAAATAAGAGTCTGTGATCTTAATAGAAATCTTCTTTTTTGGTTTTCTTTTAACATGGCATATCAGGATATGTTTATATCTTTAATTATTTACCACAAGATCCATCAAGATGGGCAACAACTGGCAACAAGAAGAAGCTTATTCTCTGACAATTTTAATGTGACCCTCTCTTTAAAATATTTAAAACATATGCATAACCTTCTCTCCTTCTTTAGTGCTACCTATTGTTGACAGGAACATGTTGATGCTCTGTTAGCAAGCATTGTAAGGAGAGTTGTATTGTAAGCATACTGTTTGTTAACAAGGGATATGCTGGCCATTAGTAAACTGGACAAAGATAATATTTTCTGGTACATTTGGTCTAAATGCTCAGGGGACATTCTTTGCTGCAAATACAACAGGGTTTGCCCTCTCTGAGAGCAGGCAGGGCCTAAAGTCTAATTAAGACAAAGGCTCTTAATTAAACTTTGGCTATGCTTTACAGGCACCAGTGTGTGTCTGCCCTTGATAGTGCCACTTGAGGTGCTGTCCTTCAAGAACTGCCGTGCGAAATGCTTTAGGACAGTGAGAAAAGATGCCTTGCACTTACGGTTCCTTCATTTTTCCACTTACATTGCTCCTCACTCTGGTGCCATAATTAAAAAATCTTCCCACAAGAACCTTTCTGCTTATTTCTAGCATATTCAGGTGTTGTACACCTTATAAGGTGTGTCTGGAAAGAAGGCGCACACAGAATACAGACATTCAGTTTCATGGAATAAAAACCAGGGCAGATTGTTTTCAATAAAGGACTAACATCAAATCAGCGCAATCCACTGTTTCCAAGACATAAATACCTTTTTCCAGTGCATGCAGAGGATTTGATTCAAGTACAACTTATGTGTCTAAGAAGGCTTGTGTGCGTGTGTGTGTGTGAGTAGTACAGGTTTCCCTATTTCAAAGCCTGGCTCCCCTGCAAAATGCACTGAAAGGAAAGGCCTTATTCAAATGGCCTCAGCATTCATTCCTGGCATCTTGTAAAACCTGAGAAACTACCTTTTAATAAAGATGAAACAAACCTCACTCTGTGCCTTAATGGGGTCTTGAAATTCCCCAAAGTAGCATTCAGGAAGATGCTGCAACACACACATATTTTTCTCAATTCATTTATCATTTGAAAATGCAATGTCCAGCCTACAAACTACATCCAACCCATACTTTTCACCTTTAATTCTTGAAAAGAATCTGAAAAGAGAGATGACTGCCAGAAACAATTAGGAAGCACTTAGCAATCCTCTAAGACTGCTGTAAGGACTATCCAGTCTTAATTCCCACATTCTTCTGAAGGTGAAGAAATAAAGTGCAAACAAAGAACCTGGATATAACTGAATCTCAGCTGGCCACCTATCCCTCATTCCCACCCAATCCATCTGAATTACGCAATCAAGGGGATATTATTTTAGGAGACAGAGAAAGGGAGCAAAGATCCCTGTTACTAAGGAGACACATAAGAGCTGACATTCCTACATAAATTTCAGGGTGGGGGAAGAGAAAAATAACGCTCTCCCACAAAGTTTGTTTAGAGTCCCTGGTAACTGCACAAAGAAGCAATTCTTTGAAAAGAAAAGGAAAAAAGAAAGAAGAAACACCTCACTAGAAACCAAGTTACACTAGATGAAGTGAGAACAAGAGGAAGGAAAGAGCTTCTGTGCTAGTTTAGAAACAAAACATCCAAAAAAAATGAAAAAGGATTTTCAGAAAAACAAGGGCAAGGAACTCCCCTGCCCCCCCCCCACACACACACAAAATACAACAGGGAGCCAAGCCAATAGAAAGCCAACATTTTCTTGCATAATTTCTGAAAAAATGCAGAAAGAAAAAAAAAGCAAAGGGGAAAAATCTCCAAGGATAATATATTATTCAAAAGCTGATTTAAGGGTTAGTGAGTGGGGGTTACAGTTTAACTTGTAAACGTTTCCAGACAAGATTACAGAAGCTGTTGCTGAGTGAAAAATAATAACACGGTTTGTAATAGTAATAACAATAGTAATAACAATAATCAACAATTTCAGACCAGGCAATGCTGCAGACTAAGCAAATCACTCATTGTTGAGTGGAAACTGATTTTGCAATCACCTTAATCACTTTAAGAGGACAATTCTAAGTTTGGAGTGGTGAGTTGTTATTTTTCTCATTCATGAACTGAAACAAAATGTTACCGGAAAAAGACCAATAAAACCAATGAAGTGTGTGATGAGCAGGAGTAGAAAGAAACCCAACACAGGAGACTGTCTAGGGAAAATCCTCCTCAGGGACAGTGGAGGGGAGCATCAAGCTAACGGAGTCGAAAAGGTGTCAGAATACTATGAAACAAGAATGTTTCTTCTTGTGTTGCCTGCAGATTCATTGATCTGAAAGCCACAACTTTTTCTGACAGCAACAGCTTGGGGAGTGTCAGCAGGGCACAGTGCATAAATAGTAATCATGAACTGCAAACCACATCCAGATTTCCCAGAGCCAGTTCCACGCTTAAACAGGCATGTTTCAAGCTTATTCGTGGAGTAAATGCATAAATTCAAAAAAATCAAGCAATCACCCCATGCAAATGCTTTGCAAGAGCTAATCTTGTTTTCCCATCTCTGCTATATACTAGTTTCCAAGGCACACAAAAAGAGCATACAATGGTGTGCATGCAATATTGAAACTGCCTCATTTCAAAGAGACATTATTTGCTTTTCTGCTGACTTGGGGGCTGCAAGATGGGGAGGTACAGCTGGGGAACTAACCCTGCAGACATAAAGCATGAAATTCAGCAGGAGTTGAAGGGGAAGGGAGAGGACCTGACTGCAGAGGACCAGACTAGGGTCTCAACTGGTAGGGTGCTACGAAAGGAGGACCAGGGGCACCCGCAAGTGGGGTTGATTGTGATAATTATAGGAGGGTACAGCCTTTCCATTCCCGGACTACCAAAGACTCGATGAGGCTCTGGGACGAGGTGGGCTCTGGGCAGGGTAACAGCGTTACTAACAGCCTGGAAAACTGCTGGCTTTGGGAGACTCCGGTTAGGATGCAGGAAGAAGGGCGTGCTGGGCTGCGAAGTCAGGTGGGATGCATGAGTGAGAACGGGTGGCAGGGCGCGTTCGCAAGAGGTGCCACGCAGGTGATTCGCGATGCCCTGAGGCGTGTGCCACGGCCGGGCACTCAGCAGCTGATGGGAGGGCAGGTCGAGTGCTCGCTGCGAGGGGAAGCAGACGGGCTGCGCATCCTGGGGAGGAAAGGGGTGCAAGAGGGGCGACGGGGAAGCGGGCTGCCCCCGAGGAAAACGCGGCGAGGCAGGGAGAGCGCAGGCTTGCCAGGGGAGGACGGGGGGCGTGCGGGGAGGCGGTGAGGAGCTGCTGTGCGCGGAGGGGCGGCGCGGGGGTGGGGAAGGGCACCACGGAAAGGGATGCTCGGGGGAGCTGCTGCAATGGGTGGGGTCAGAGGGGAGGGGAGGAGAGGGGAGGGGAGGCCGGCTGGGCTTGGAGGGCGCGGGCAGGGAAGGTCGCCTCGCTCACCGCTGTTCAAGGTAGTTTTGCAGCGCCAGGTCTCCGGGTTGCTGAGTTTGCTGCAGGACTCCCAGAGGGACAGGTAAGACTGGTGATCGGCCGTCACCCAGGCCGGGCTCAGCACGGCGCCCAGATCCAGACACAACGCCAGGAAGATGCACACCAGCCCCACCAGCTTGAGCGGGGTCAGCACCGAGACGCGCACCTCCTCCATGCCGCTGCCGGCTGAAGCCATGGGCGACAGCGGGTTAGCAGTGGCCGCCGCCTCTACAAGCCCGGCGCTTTTCGGTCAGGAATCCCGACGGAGCCGGGCGGACGGAGAGCGCGCCCAATCCTCTAGTCCCAGCAGACCCGGTGCGGCGGCGGCGGCGGCAGCTCCCTGCAGTCGCCACTTCTCGGGTCTCGCAGCCCGGCTCTGCCCAGCGAATCACTCCTCCCACCTGCCCTCCCCGTCTGGGGAAGGGGCGGGAGGAGCGCCGCTCGCGGGGCGGGGTGGGCGTCGAGCCGCGCACGTCACTCCCAGGGCTTCCTCGGGGGAAGGAGAGCGGGCGGCGAGGCTTCGGCTGCCCCCAGCGGCGGCTACAGCAACGCTGGCGGCCGGGGGCGCCGCGGCTGCTTTTGCTCCCCGCTGCGCTCCGTCCGGACAGGGCGAGAGAATTCAGCGGGGTGGCGGGCTGGAGGGGCGGGCTGAGCGCCGCCGCCCTTCTGGCAAGCGACTCGAGGGGAGGCACTTCGGGTGGGATGCCTTTGCCCGCGGGAAGAAACAAGCCTGGGCTCAGCCTTCCCTCCCTTCGGGGAAAAGGCTCTTTGCGACCTGCCGCTTCTTTCCCCACCACGTCTTGTTCCCTCCCCCTGCCCAGCGTTGTCCCCTCCCGGGTCTTCTCCTCTCTTCCCTTTGGCAGGAAATCTTCTATGGGGCTGGGGAGGTCCAGAACAAACACGGAAAGACAAGAGAAAATCAGCGTCTGGGTCTGCCTTCCACCCCCGTTTTATTTATTGCTTTTTATTGGCCAGGTTTTTGCAGACGGTGCTGTAAACTTTCTGGGCTGGGACCGTGTGCCGTGCACTTTCTGCAGAGCTTCTGGGGCCTTCTCTGTGCGAAAGAAACAAGAAGTAATAATAGTAGACTATGCAGCTGTATAAAGTGATACTGGCATCTCATCATCGAGCGTGGGATGATTTGGAGAGGAACGCCCCTAAATTGAATTGCTGTTCAGGGATTGAGGTGCCTTTTTTTTTAACAGAGGAATCATAATAAAATGTGTACAACATCTAGAGCAAAATTAGAGTTGGTAGAGAGCCAGTGTGTTGTGGTGGAGAAAGAGTTGGAGTGGGACCTGGGAGACCTGCATTCTATTCCCTACATGACCGTGTTCGTCAGTGAGTGACTTTGGGCCAGTCACTCACTCTCAGGCCAACCTACCTCACAGGACTGTTGTGAGGATAAAATAGAACTATATAAGGTGCCTTGGCTTCCTTGCAAGAGGAAAAAAGGGTTGGATATAAGTGGAATGTAACAATAATTGTAATAATAGTTCTATGTAAAGACAGACTGAGTAGACATGGGACTCCATTTTACAAATGAGAATAATAATAGCAATAAGATTCTAAAAGAATGAAAATTATAATACTGGAATGATGGGGGCATCTGAGGCTGTAGTCAAAGCAAGGAAAATAAATATCTCTAGAATAAGGATGTCAGTTCAGACCTTTTAGCCCATGGGTCAGTTTAATTTTTGGAGAAGTTCCATATTCACGTTGTGAATGAGGTTGAAGGCAGAATCCTTTAGGTTAGCAGTTCTTATTGCCAGTAACTAAGAGGCAATTTAGCCTTTGAGGGAAAGTCACATAAGCTGCAACGCCACCACATTGTCAGCAGATCCGGGAAAGGGCTGGAGCCAAAGGAAAGGAGTTCGCCATCTGGGGAATCTTCAGGGGTAGGAGTGGAACTGCAGGCTGGCCAGATTTGCCCCATGAGCTGGAATTTGACAGCTCTGCTGTAAAGCTGTTATGGCTTCTGATCTTGCCATAATTAATGCATGCCTTTTGAGGAGACAGCCATTATCGAAATGACAATGACATTTATCCTGAGCAGGATACTGCTATGCTACAATTCTGTGTTACATGCTAAAAATTGTTGCCTGAGAAATATTCAACTGCAAACTCTTCTAGCCTACATCGATTCCTAGCCAGATAATCATTTCTTCCATGTCTGATGTTCCAGAGTATATACCATCCACTAGTAGGCAGAATAGCGCCACAAACAATTTACAGGTGAGAAGCTTCTTGGAATTGTTGTAGATTGCAAGCAGAATGTGAGTCAACAATGTGAAGTTGACTTTATATTGTATTTTGTATTTTTAATCTAACTTTTATATATTATTTTAATTTAAGATTATAATTATTTTAATTTATTGTTGTAACCTGCCCCGAGTATAGAACATGGAATAACAGACTCACGTTGCAGGAAAACAGATGCCAGCTAAAAATCAGAAAGAAGTTTCTGACCGTTAGAGCAGTATGGGAATGGAACCACTGACCTAGGAACATTGTGGGCTGTCTTGCATTAGAGGCATTCAAAATGCAACTGAACAGCCATCTGAGGGGGATGGTTAACTTGGAGTCCTACACTGAACAGGGGCTTGAACCTGATGGCTCTCTGGCCCCTTCCAACTCTATTATTATAGATTCTATGAAAACTTGGCATAATCTTCAGGTTAGCAGGAGAAAAAGTGTTGGCAGGAAGAACTGGAAAATGGAGAGCCAGGGATGTAATTGAGTATGATTGATTTCTAAGGAAGTATGAGTTATGAATCAGGAAAAAATGGCAACTGGAACTGTAATAAAAAAGCAGAATAGGTTAAAGTTTAGGGCTTACCTAAAGGCTTGGGGATTGTGGTGGATGATCGCCAAATAAAGGTGCAATTCTAAGTATGTTTAGTCAGAAAAAGGATCCAGGATTCATAGTCTCTTCCAGCCAGCCATGTTGGATTTAAGACATTGCTTCTGTCTTATCATCCACTAAACTGTATCCTAGTAAGTTAGCGAAAGCTTAATGTAAATTTGAATGGAAAGCCTGCATCTGGAGACATCTCAATATAACTAAAGTAAGCATCAGCAAGGACTCAGAAGGGAAACTGAAAATGTATAAGGTAGGAAAAAATTGTGGTGTGGAACAGGAAGAACCATGTATGTAGAACCAGTGGTGGCATATTTGAAAGAATATTGGTCAGGAACAACCACAAAAACCTATCCAAGGATGTGCGAACATATCAAATGAAAAGGCACTGTTTCAACCAAACAAGGGCCAGTGAATACAGAACTGAAAAACAACTGATGTGGTTGTCTGGACATTTACACTTGCTGGAAAGGTTCTGGTCATAACAGAACACAATGAGCAGTTAAAAAGCTTAGAATATGACATTACCAAATGTATTCCACTAACTTGATACTAGCTTCACTGGAATTGCATAAAAAGGATGGTGAGCTTAGGCACAGTCACGTTCTCCTCTCCTGTATCAGAAATGGGCATGCAAATATTTGGGGTTTGACTGGGTTAAAGAAAAACTGTAACTGTAACTCTACCAAAAGAAGTTAAGTAGTGAGTCCCTTCTCTCTTCTTAAGTGTGTATGAGTTTGTTCTTTTAACAGTGTACTCCACTTAGAGAATATTTATTATTGGGCAGATTATAACATAAAGTCAATACAATCTAAATGAAACTTAGCAACCCCATGTTGCTTTTGTCTTGTACCCAGACTCTTTGCTCAGCTTCTCGGAGCTCCTTGTGAATGCTATCTCCATAGGAGGTTCAAAAGGTGGCAACTAGGGAGGCAGCCTTCCCAGTGGTGCCCCTCACAATTAGGGGCTGATCTCCCCATGGAGGCCCATTTGGTTGCCACACCGTCATCTTTTCAATGCCAGGTTAAATCTGCCCTCCATTTCCAGGCCATTAATAATACTCAGTGGCATGTGGTAAGACACATGCTTCAACTGGTTTTAATATGTCTAGTGTTTTAGTTTGATTGGTTGTTCTATAGACATCATTTTAATAGTTCATTTTTTCATTTTTAATGTTGTGTTTGATTATCTTGTAGTTTGTGATTCTGTGAACCACCAAGAGAACTTTGGGTGGTGGGCACTATATAAATAAATAACTAAAAAGTATGGTTTCTGTTTGCATATCATGTGGAATACATTTTGAATGAAGGGGCAATCTAGAAAAAAAATATATATTGCTGGAGGCTCAGTTACTGGAACTATGAGTGAGGGCACTGCTCAATGCAAGGTTTTTTGTAGGTCCCACTTATTCCATCCGGTGTAAGCACCTTTGGAAACTTCTATGAGAGCAGATGCTTTAAAAAAAAATCTTTAGGGAAAAAACTTGTGGACAGAGGGGATCCTAAAAGTCCAGTGAAGACTAAGCATTTTCAGTGCCCATGAAATGCTGATAAACTGGTGGGAGCTAAGCGCAGAAAAGTGAGTGCGGGCTGTAGTGATTTTTGCTGTAACAGGGCACACTGGACTGGATCCAAAAGCACAAGCTCTCCGCACTGCAACATTCAGTTACAGGTCCACTTGTAGTCATTACTGTAATTTTGTTAGAGGAAGCATCAATCCTCCTTAGAAACCACTCCAAACCATCACAGCAACGTCGTTCACTCTAGGATTAAAAAATGCTTAGCCCAACCAGAGTCCAGACAACTTCGTTCTGCATGTGTTGTGCTCTAGACACTATCAATCTATCCTCATTTGTTATACTTGTCAGGCCTTTTCATCATTGCTCTCCCTCCCCCCTTTTTTTAATATGCCCCAGGGGCCTTTGAATCCCTAGTAGACGTAAATCAATTTTCACACTTTTGAAATCAATTCATTTTCAGTTCACCCCCACATTTGTTCCTTTCCCTATGCACTCAGCCCCACTTCACTCTTTAATTTGGCTCCGTTCATTTCTCCATCAATTTGTTCAGACAAAACCTGAAACCAAACACTTTCAGGAGCATGATTAAATCTGCAGTGCTTATTTGGGAGTGATTCCAACTTGGCTGAGAGGCATGCTAGATTCCATGTCATGTAAGCAATAAACACTTTGCTGTGCAAAGATGCTTTCTTCAAATACATGGCCCAGGAAGCTGTTTATAAAGGATTCTGGCTCATCTTTTAAGAGTGTGATTTGACCTTCACAGCCCCTCTGATCTCAAGGAAGTGGGACAAGTAAAAGTCAACCCATGCACTTGCTAATCAAGCTGTTAAGGCTTGGCTTAGCTTGAACCCTTATTTAGTCTTATGTGAAAGAAACTACCAAATACATGCTTGAACAACAACACTGTGTGACTTTTCTGATTTTCAGAAAGACTGCTTCAGTTCTGATGAACCATTATTTCTAGGTC